TTTTTATATTTAACAAATTATTTTTTATTTATATTGTAAAAATAGCTTTTATTTTATTTTTTTAATTAAAAAAAAAAAACAAAAAAAAAACGTTACTTTGAATAGCTAATGAATATAATGTATTGATTTTCAGCTAAACATATTTTTGAACGTTGCAAAATATTTTTTCTTTTATGGTTTAAAAATAACAATATAAGATTTATTTTCTCTATTTTGAAAAATAAAGTATAAAACATATTTATTTGCATCTAATATTTGCTTTAAAGTTGTTTTAAAAATAATTTTAAGGTTCATCTTTGAAATATTTTTATTTCATACTTGTAAGAAAACTGTTTATTTCCCTTAATCGAAACAAGCATACAATCCCTTATTCGTTCGTGTGTATGTTCAACACTCAAAAGACGTTGTCTTAATATAGCATTCACTGTTAGGCATATAAAGCAAAATAAACTATGCTTCTTTGCCAACGACCATACCACGCTGAGTACATCGGTTCTCGTCCGATCACCGAAATTAAGCAGCGTCGGGCGCGGTTAGTACTTAGATGGGGAACCGCTTGGGAACACCGCGTGTTGTTGGCATTGTCCAACTTTTTTATATATATTTTTTTTTAATTTAAAAAATATTTTTTCTAATTTAAAAAATATTTTTTATATTTAACAAATTATTTTTTATTTATTTTGTAAAAATATCTTTTAAATAGCTTTTATTTTATTTTTTAATTCAAAAAAAAAAAAAAAAAAAAAACAAAAAAAAAAAATAACGTTATTTTGAATAGCTAATGAATATAATGTATTGATTTTCAGCTAAACATATTTTTGAACGTTGTAAAATATTTTTTCTTTTATGGTTTAAAAATAACAATATGAGATTTATTTTCTCTATTTTGAAAAATAAAGTATAAAACATATTTATTTGCATCTAATATTTGCTTTAAAGTTGTTTTAAAAATAATTTTAAGGTTCATCTTTGAAATATTTTTATTTCATACTTGTAAGAAAACTGTTTATTTCCCTTAATCGAAACAAGCATACAATCCCTTATTCGTTCGTGTGTATGTTCAACACTCAAAAGACGTTGTCTTAATATAGCATTCACTGTTAGGCATATGAAGCAAAATAAACTATGCTTCTTTGCCAACGACCATACCACGCTGAGTACATCGGTTCTCGTCCGATCACCGAAATTAAGCAGCGTCGGGCGCGGTTAGTACTTAGATGGGGGACCGCTTGGGAACACCGCGTGTTGTTGGCATTGTCCAACGTTTTTATATTTTTTTTAATTTAAAAAATATTTTTTCTAATTTAAAAAATATTTTTTATATTTAACAAATTATTTTTTAAATAACATTTATTTTATTTTTTTAATTAAAAAAAAAAAAAAAAAAAAATAACGTTACTTTGAATAGCTAATGAATATAATGTATTGATTTTCTGCTAAACATATTTTTGAACGTTGTAAAATATTTTTTCTTTTATGATTTAAAAATAACAATATAAGATTTATTTTCTATATTTTGAAAAATAAAGTATAAAACGTATTTATTTGCATCTAATATTTGCTTTAAAGTTGTTTTAAAAATAATTTTAAGGTTCATCTTTGAAATATTTTTATTTCATACTTGTAAGAAAACTGTATATTTCCCTTAATCGAAACAAGCATACAATCCCTTATTCGTTCGTGTGTATGTTCAACACTCAGTTCAGTTCAGTTTGATTTATTCATCTATATCCATATACAATTTTAAAATACCTTACGGCTAACAATATTACCTTATATCTATACTTAACATAAATCTTATTTTTCTAAGTTTATCTATATAATACTTATCTTAGGCTACAGTGAAGCTGTAGCCCGTCTTTAAACTGTTTAATTACAATATACTTATAATTATGCTTATAATTATAATGTTCTCCTAAAAAAATGATGTTTAAAAAAACTGGAGTCCCTAACATTTTAATTTTTAAATTCTTAAATCCACTTATAAATATACTTAATTTCTAAGGTTAAATCTACTTATAACTACTTAATCTAATAACTAATCTACTATTTACAATATGTACAATGGATGCTACACCGACTACTGCGATACCTTATAGACTGGGTTTTCTAACGCGAGCGTCCCAAACCTTCGATGATAGAAGAGGAGATGGTCTTCTCTGTAGAGAAGACCCTCTTCATTCATCGTTAGTAAACTGCTCGGTGGCCTATAATTGGCCCGAGCTAGCCTGTCCATGTCTGTTTCATGTTCAAGGCTTTCTCTTACTAACCTGTTATCGACTGATGCGGCTCTGTCTAGGCACTTTAGAGTGCTAGCCATAAGAAATTTATCTATACGGCCGAAGTCGATCGATTCGTAAATTATCCTGTTGGGAGGTAAACGCCAGGTTCCATCTTCACCCTGGGTTCGCCTTAAGCCTAAACAGGACCTTAAAATTCGCCTTTCCCAAACGCGGAGTCTTTCCATTTGGCTGGAAGATATTCCAAACCAAATAGGAAAAGCATATGCGATGAGTGGCCTTATTATCTGTTTGTAGATGAGTAATCTAACCTTAACAGTAAGCCCTCCAGTAGCATTTATAGCACGCTGGTAGGCCCAATATATACCCTTGACTTTTCTAAGAGTGTAGTCAATATGCCTAACAAACTCAAAGTTGCTATGCAAAATAACGCCCAGATATTTAATCTGGTCCGAATTGTGAATATGTTGCCCTCCAACTATAAGATTTGGCTCATACAGCCTGGCGCTGCGGTATAAGTATTTTTTCTTGCCCTTGAAGGTAATCGCTTCACATTTGTCTACGTTTAATCGCATTTTCCAGGTATGGAAATATTCAGAGAGCTGCTCCAAATATGCGTTTTAACGTGAGTTAGTGTTCCCCGCATGTGCTCCGGCCGCAGCGACGAAGATATCATCTGCATATGCCAGGAGCAAATGCCCTTCGGGCGCATGTGGTACATCACTAGTAAAAATGTTGAAAAGGACCGGGCCAAGGAGAGACCCTTGTGGTACCCAGGCATTTACAGCCCTTTCTGAAGAAAGGTCCTCATCAACTTTAACTCTAAAACTACGATTTGCTAGGAAACTAGTCACTAGTCTACATATATTAAAATCGAAGCCTAGCCTTCTCATTTTATATATGATGGCATTTTGCCAAACATTATCAAATGCTTTGGCAAAATCCAAAATAACCGCGATTGTGATCTGCCTGTTATTTAGTGCCTTAGTCACAAAGGCCTCTAAGACCATGAGGGCTTGTGATCTTGAATGGCCTCGCCTGAAGCCAAATTGGCTGTCAGGTATAATTTCTTTATCTTCCAGGATTTCTTTAATCTCCGAAAGTATAAAATATTCAAAAAGCTTTCCAAGAGCTGGGAGTAAGCTAATTGGTCTATAGTTATTGCAATGTGTTGGGTCCTTACCAGGTTTCAGGATGGGTATTGTTATCGCCCTTTTCCATGAAACCGGAAAATAGCCCAGGTTTAAGCAATGGTTGAAAATAATCGAAATATATTTCCAAGCAGCGCTATCGGTCCTCCTTAACACGATGCCAGGGATTAAATCCGGCCCTGCGGATTTGGGATTTGATCTTCTTTTTAATCCTGCCCCAATATTTGGTGCCTTGAGGAATTTATGTTGTCGCCATATATTGTCCTCACTTATTGTGGATCCATCTGCAGTTAGGTGATCTGCAAATGTCACTAAAGGGGACGTATCATTGCACATTGATACTTCATTTCTAACAGTATTACTGAAAGAAGAAGTATCGTCGGCATCAGAGTGTCCTTGGACGACGTCTGCTAACATGTCAGCCTTTTGGCTAGACATGACTGCCGAAACCCCATCGTTGCCGATGAGGTCTGGGATTTTGGCATAGCGACTAATACCCGCTGCAGCCTTAACCCTACCATACATACGATCGTTCACCTGGATTTCGCTGAGGTATCGCACCCATTGAACTGACTCGTATTCCGCAATCGCGCCTTGGATAATTCTATCGGCGTTGCGAATTTCCGCCCTGAGAGTTGAATACCTTTCAGGGTTTCCTGTACGATGTAATCTTCTCCGTAGAACTTTCTTTTGTCTGATTAGGTCTAGTATTTCAGGCGAAAGTCTACGGGGTCCTCTATTCCCAGAATAAATTCTTGGAATGCTGGACTCCATGGCGTTTCGGAAAACTCCGCTCGTGGCATCGATTTCCGAATGAGTAACATTCCGATCTATAGGAAGTTGGCAGTTGGGAAGCTCTTCTGCCAAAATCCTGTTGAATTGTATTCTGTCCATTCTTCTATAATCGAAGAAAGTCCGTCTTGGTCTACGTTCTGGTTCGTCCCCGTAAACCGTCATTTTCAGGGCTCTATGGTCAGAATTACAATCTACGGTTGTAATTCCTCGCCCATCATTATCATCTATATGTATACCAGATGTAGCCAAGCAGATGTCAATGTAGGTTTGTGAACCTATAGCGACTCTGGTTGGTCCATCTGTGGGTATAACATTTAGATCTGGACAGCTAATTAAAAAATCTAAAACTATCCTCCCTTTGTGACAAGTTGAAGCATTCCCCCAGATAGTATGTCTAGCATTAAGGTCCGCCCCTATTATAACTTCCCCAGATGTAGCTAAGTCCCTAAGAGGTTCTAAGCTATTAATGTCAAAACTATCAGATGGCCTGCAGTACATAGCCACTGCGTACAGTGGTGACCTGCCGGCCCTAGATATCTTAATACAAGTACACTCGATGGGACCCAAATCAAGTGGTACTTGATTACAGTTTACGTTATCCCTTACTAATATAGCAGTGCCCCCACCCCTGAGTTCTTTCCTATATTGTAAGTAACTAACGTACCCGCCTATCTCAAATCTGTGGTTTTGAGATAGTTTATGTTCAGCCAACATCATGACCTCCGGCCGATGCTCATCGAGGAATAACCGGAGGTAGTGCCTCTTGTGTCTCGATATTACAGAGTTGATGTTGGCAAATATAAATGTAGTTGACCTAACCATTTATACCTAACATACCTACTAGCGAGACCATGGCTTTCGCCTGGCTCGCTTTGTCCTTACTCTTGAGTTCCTCAGAGAATTGACGAACCTGCATGATAGAGGTCAGGAAATCTTTTCCAAAGATTTCATTGCAGAGTTCATCAAAAAGAGTGAACCCACTAACAACTTGCCCTAAGGATTGTTGCTGGCCCAAAGTTATGTTAGCTTTGGGCTGTTGTTGGCCCAGAGTTGTAACTTTGGGCGCAGATGGAGTTTTTGTCGTTGTTGCAGAAGCAAACGACACACCAGGCTGTATCTTACCACTATTTATAGGGAAGCTAGCTTCTGGTGTAAACTTCGCAGTTTTTTTGGCCTTACTTTCAGCTGCTTTAGCTAAAAGTTTGAGACGAGTTGGACAGTCGCGAGCATTTGCGGCATGTCCAGTACGGTTGCAGTTTACGCATTTGAAAACGTAATCTGGCCGCATAGTAACCTTACCTGTAACTGGGTCAGTTACAGGTATCATTGTAGGCTTATTAACGCCCTTGGGAATTTTGCATTTCCCTTTGCCATGGTCACCTGCGCATTTAACGCAACAATATGGCATGCCACAATTTACGGACACATGATAGTGTCTTTGGCAATTGTGGCATTGCGTGAGACCTTTTTTCTTGTCCTTTCGGAAAAGGACATTGCCTGTGAGGACACGGCGTACTTTGTACAGGCCGTTAATATCCGATCCTTTGCCCAAGTGGATCAGGAATTTGTTTCCCCCCAGTTTAGTGACACGTTTAATGTCGAGGTTTAGGTTCAAAGCTTTGAGCCCATCCTCAACATGTGTAGTGTCGTAGGTGTCCGATAGGCCCTCCATGACTACGGAGTACGGTGTTTGGCCTTTTGGAGCATGGGTATAAAAATGTATACCCTCTTTAACAAAAAATTCTTTCACCTTCTCATGGTCTTCCAATGAGGTAAGGTGAAAGGCACTAACTTTACGGTTGACTAAATTAACTGTAAATTTGTCGTGTCCGAGCAATTTAATTAAATTGTCAGTCACCCCCTTTACGTTAACGTCAACTGTCGATAAAGGTGGGATCGACTTACCATTTTTTCCTGGTGTAGCATCCATTTTTCGTTTAACTGCTACTGTTGCAGCTGCTGCTGACGTTGTTGCTGCTGCTGCTGATGTTGCTGCTGCTGATGTTGTTGCTGCTGCTGCTGATGTTGTTGCTGTTTTCGGCTCTTCATTAGATCCGTTTATAATTTGGACCTTCTTAACTTTCCGTCGTGCTTCTTTGGTCGGTTTTCCAGCGACCACGACGTCCTTCTTCCCAGGCAGGATGGGCTTCTTGACTGCCTGTAGTGGAGCCCGGCTTGCTTCCACCTGAAACTGCGCCACCGGCGGTGTGCACGCAGACTGCCTCACTGGCGGCGTGAGCAGTTCGACCTCCATTGAGGCATCATCATTAAGTGTGGGTGAGCTCTCCATGATCTCACCGGCCTTAACTGAGAATTACTTCTCATAAGCTGCTATTATGCGTTTGCAGCTGTTGACTCGCAGGAACTCAGCGTTGAGCTGAAGCCTTGACGGCGGCCAACTCCGCCGACAAGGTCTGGTTATCCTTCGCGAGAAGAGATAACGTGGTTTCCAGCTGGCGGATCTTTGCCTCCAACTTAAGCGATTCATAGGGCGAGTCGCCCTCTTGCGAATTACGCTTCTTTTTACGCTTCCGCTGCTTTTCAAAAGCGGTGCCATCTGTTGTCGCTTCGTCTGTTGTGTCTTCTCTTTTAGCCGAGACACAAACAAGGGGCACGGCTTTGCCCGTGGGAACTGCAGTTACCAATTGTTGGGGTACTGGGTTACCGACCGCTTGAAACCTCCGGCCGGTGAGATCGTCGGTAGTGCCGTCTTGAACTGCATTATCGACAGTTCGATCGGACAGAAATGCAGCATTACCGACCAAAGGTGACGGCAATACCATTTTTATAGCATTACCGACCGGAACTGCATTACCACAGTGTACTGCATTTCCGGTAGGTACTGCATTACCGACATTGTCGGTCGTTTGTACTGTATTACCGACTTGCGGTACTGCACTACCGACCGACGGTCCCGGTACGGCATTATCATCGGCCACCTCCATCGGGGACCGACTGCTCCTACCACTAAGGGAGCTACTACCAGCGGCAATCCTTTCCAAGATTGACGCAGGAGAGACACACACTACACTTTCCGACGGCAGGCACAAATTCACTTTGCCGACGGGAATTTTAGCGAACTTGGAAATTATCTCTTCAAAGTTTGAAACTTAGAAGTTTGAAACAAACCCTTCCAAGTTCACTTCACTTAGCACTTTTTATTTCACTTTTGCACTTTTCACTTATCCGCAGATGGTCTGTTCACTCCAAGAGCTCAATACAGAATATGTTTAACACTCAAAAGACGTTGTCTTAATATAGCATTCACTGTTAGGCATATGAAGCAAAATAAACTATGCTTCTTTGCCAACGACCATACCACGCTGAGTACATCGGTTCTCGTCCGATCACCGAAATTAAGCAGCGTCGGGCGCGGTTAGTACTTAGATGGAGGACCGCTTGGGAACACCGCGTGTTGTTGGCATTGTCCAACTTTTTTATATTTTTTTTTTAATTTAAAAAATATTTTTTTCTAATTTAAAAAATATTTTTTATATTTAACAAATTATTTTTTATTTATTTTGTAAGAATATCTCTTAAATAGCTTTTATTTTATTTTTTTAATTAAAAAAAAAAAAAAAAAAACAAAAAAAAATAACGTTACTTTGAATAGCTAATGAATATAATGTATTGATTTTCAGCTAAACCTATTTTTGAATGTTGTAAAATATTTTTTCTTTTATGGTTTAAAAATAACAATATAAGATTTATTTTCTCTATTTTGAAAAATAAAGTATAAAAAATATTTATTTGCATCTAATATTTGCTTTAAAGTTGTTTTAAAAATAATTTTAAGGTTCATCTTTGAAATATTTTTATTTCATACTTGTAAGAAAACTGTTTATTTTCCTTAATCGAAACAAGCATACAATCCCTTATTCGTTCGTGTGTATGTTCAACACTCAAAAGACGTTGTCTTAATATAGCATTCACTGTTAGGCATATGAAGCACAATAAACTATGCTTCTTTGCCAACGACCATACCACGCTGAGTACATCGGTTCTCGTCCGATCACCGAAATTAAGCAGCGTCGGGCGCGGTTAGTACTTAGATGGGGGACCGCTTGGGAACACCGCGTGTTGTTGGCATTGTCCAACTTTTTTATATTTTTTTTTAATTTAAAAAATATTTTTTCTAATTTAAAAAGTATTTTTTATATTTAACAAATTATTTTTTATTTATTTTGTAAAAATATCTTTTAAATAACTTTTATTTTACTTTTTTAATTAAAAAAAAACAAAAAAAAATAACGTTACTTTGAATAGCTAATGAATATAATGTATTGATTTTCAGCTAAACATATTTTTGAACGTTGTAAAATATTTTTTCTTTTATGATTTAAAAATAACAATATAAGATTTATTTTCTCTATTTTGAAAAATAAAGTATAAAACGTATTTATTTGCATCTAATATTTGCTTTAAAGTTGTTTTAAAAATAATTTTAAGGTTCATCTTTGAAATATTTTTATTTCATACTTGTAAGAAAACTGTTTATTTCCCTTAATCGAAACAAGCATACAATCCCTTATTCGTTCGTGTGTATGTTCAACACTCAAAAGACGTTGTCTTAATATAGCATTCACTGTTAGGCATATGAAGCAAAATAAACTATGCTTCTTTGCCAACGACCATACCACGCTGAGTACATCGTTTCTCGTCCGATCACCGAAATTAAGCAGCGTCGGGCGCAGTTAGTACCTAGATGGGGGACCGCTTGGGAACTCCGCGGTTTGTTGGCATTGTCTAACTTTTTTATATTTTTTTTAATTTAAAAAATATTTTTTCTAATTTAAAAAATATTTTTTATTTTTAACAAATTATTTTTTATTTATTTTGTAAAAATATCTTTTAAATAACTTTTATTTTATTTTTTTAATTAAAAAAAAAACAAAAAAAAAATAACGTTACTTTGAATAGCTAATGAATATAATGTATTGATTTTCAGCTAAACATATTTTTGAACGTTGTAAAATATTTTTTCTTTTATGGTTTAAAAATAACAATATAAGATTTATTTTCTCTATTTTGAAAAATAAAGTATAAAACATATTTATTTGCATCTAATATTTGCTTTAAAGTTGTTTTAAAAATAATTTTAAGGTTCATCTTTGAAATATTTTTATTTCATACTTGTAAGAAAACTGTTTATTTCCCTTAATCGAAACAAGCAAACAATCCCTTATTCGTTCGTGTGTATGTTCAACACTCAAAAGACGTTGTCTTAATATAGCATTCACTGTTAGGCATATGAAGCAAAATAAACTATGCTTCTTTGCCAACGACCATACGACGCTGAGTACATCGTTTCTCGTCCGATCACCGAAATTAAGCAGCGTCGGGCGCGGTTAGTACTTAGATGGGGGACTTTTTTATATTTTTTTATAATTTAAAAAATATTTTTTTTAATTTAAAAAATATTTTTTATATTTAACAAATTATTTTTTATTTATTTTGTAAAAATATCTTTTAAATAGCTTTTATTTTATTTTTTAATTCAAAAAAAAAAAAAAAAATACAAAAAAACAAAAAAAAAAAAAATAACGTTACTTTGAATAGCTAATGAATATAATGTATTGATTTTCAGCTAAACATATTTTTGAACGTTGTAAAATATATTTTCTTTTATGGTTTAAAAATAACAATATCAGATTTATTTTCTATATTTTGAAAAATAAAGTATAAAACGTATTTATTTGCATCTAATATTTGCTTTAAAGTTGTTTTAAAAATAATTTTAAGGTTCATCTTTGAAATATTTTTATTTCATACTTGTAAGAAAACTGTATATTTCCCTTAATCGAAACAAGCATACAATCCCTTATTCGTTCGTGTGTATGTTCAACACTCCAAAGACGTTGTCTTAATATAGCATTCACTGTTAGGCATATGAAGCAAAATAAACTATGCTTCTTTGCCAACGACCATACCACGCTGAGTACATCGTTTCTCGTCCGATCACCGAAATTAAGCAGCGTCGGACGCGGTTAGTACTTAGATGGGGGACCGCTTGGGAACACCGCGTGTTGTTGGCATTGTCCAACTTTTTTATATTTTTTTTTAATTAAAAAAATATTTTTTCTAATTTAAAAAATATTTTTTATATTAAACAAATTATTTTTTATTTATTTTGTAAAAATATCTTTTAAATAGCTTTTATTTTATTTTTTTAATTCAAAAAAAAAAACAAAAAACAAAAAACAAAATAAAATTACGTTACTTTGAATAGCTAATGAATATAATGTATTGATTTTCAGCTAAACATATTTTTGAACGTTGTAAAATATTTTTTCTTTTATGGTTTAAAAATAACAATATAAGATTTATTTTCTCTACTTTGAAAAATAAAGTATAAAACATATTTATTTGCATCTAATATTTGCTTTAAAGTTGTTTTAAAAATAATTTTAAGGTTCATCTTTGAAATATTTTTATTTCATACTTGTAAGAAAACTGTTTATTTCCCTTAATCGAAACACGCATACAATCCCTTATTCGTTCGTGTGTATGTTCAACACTCAAAAGACGTTGTCTTAATATAGCATTCACTGTTAGGCATATGAAGCAAAATAAACTATGCTTCTTTGCCAACGACCATACCACGCTGAGTACATCGGTTCTCGTCCGATCACCGAAATTAAGCAGCGTCGGGCGCGGTTAGTACTTAGATGGAGGACCGCTTGGGAACACCGCGTGTTGTTGGCATTGTCCAACTTTTTTATATTTTTTTTTTAATTTAAAATATATTTCTTCTAATTTAAAAAATATTTTTTATATTTAACAAAATATTTTTTATTTATTTTGCAAAAATATCTTTTAAATAGCTTTTATTTTATTTTTTTAATTCAAAAAAAAAAAAAAATAAATAAAAATAATAATAACGTGACTTTGAATAGCTAATGAATATAATGTATTGATTTTCAGCTAAAC